GAAAGTTGGCATTTTAAAGGTTTTAGAATTTCCTAAGATTGATTTGAAGTGAACTTTGATTTTATTGATGCCCATTTGGGATTCCGAGCCTTGGAATATGTTGTATCGTGATTTTTGACTTGTACATAAAGCTTGGCGTCATTCCGAAATGTTTAAGTGTAATTCGGGCGATTTGGGGTGATTTTTGAAGATCATTTTCGCAATATATCATAAGGTAAGTTATTCTTACTTGTTTCGTGTTAAATACATGAGTTATATATGGATTTTAACATGGAAATTTAATATAAATTATGGAATTTTTGGTAGAAAATCTAAAAATAAAATTTTTAGATTTTGACCACGAAATTGGACATGGAATTAGGAATAAATTATATATTTGAGTTTGTGGTATTATGGGTAATATTTATCTTCGAAAATGTTCGAAATCGGGGCACATGGGCCCGAGGTTGACTTTTTGAGCGGAGTTAAAAATTATTATAAATTGATTAATTATGAGTATGTGAGTGTATTTTTATTGGTTTGCACGTTGTTTGACTAGTTTCAGATCGATGGGCATCGGTTTGAGGTGTTAGAGAGGCGTTGGAGTCGGTTATGAAACTTCGTTGCGAGGTAAGTCTCTTGTCTAACTTTGTGAGGGGGAATCTGCCCCGTAGGTATTAAAATTATTGTGTGCTACTAGTTGTGAGTGTTACGTACGCACGAGATGACGAGAGTCCGTACGTAGCTAAAAGTATGTTTATGTCCGGGTAGACTTAGGACTTTATCATGTAATATTTGAATTATTTGAACTCATTTTGCTAGCTTAATTAAGTAAATTTATAATTGAAATTGATTTGAGAATATATTAGGCCGAGCTTTATCACCTTGAGTTGTTTGGGCAGATATTTGATAAACGGTAAAAGTCATGTTTACTTTATGCTCCTGCACCTGTTTTGTAAGCACGTGACTCGTAATTCGATAAGTTTCTTCTTCTTTTTTGTGGATCGGGCTGAATGCTTCGACAGTATATTGAGATGCATCTCTGGTTCGCGTCGTTCGACCCTCGACAGTGTACACACCACTCTGGATCGGGTCGTACGACCTCGGTACAATCATGTGTTATACCGCTAGCAGTCTGGATATTCACGAGATCCCCTTTCTATTGAGGCCTGGCATTTTATATGGTATTCCTTATCCGTTTGATTTTGCACTCTTATGGGATCGGGCCGTTCTCCTTTGCAGAATCGTGCGTAATATTCGATAAGGAGTCAGCGTATCTATGAATCTATCTGACTTAAGACGTGATATTTTATTGGTTATTTACCTTACATATATTCCATTCGAGGTAATATTCGGTATTCGAGGGTTTTTGTATTTACTCTTCTGTTGAGGATCGTGCTATGTACATATATATATTTTTACTGTTTTACTTGCCATGCTTCATATATGTCTACCTTTATTGTAGGGATAATACATAATTACCCCTCTGAGATTGCCTTCCTTTATCAGATGCACCCTTACACTTTGTGAAGGTCTTATGACCCCCTTATATTTGTTCAACCTGTAATTAATATCACCTTTTGAGCTGATGTGACATATTTCTGGATTGACTGCGCGTGAAAGCGCAAAATATCATATTTTTTCATTTTTCATTTTTTCTCTTTCTTCTTTTTTAATTCCTTTATTCTATCCCATCTTTTCTTTTTCTAATTTCTTTTCTTCTACTTTTTTGATGTTCTCCTTTCTTCCTGTCAGCGGCTCACCTCAATTCCCCAGTAGCCAAACCTTCAAAACCAATTAACTTTCAATTGTAATCCATGAATTGATTTTTAATTTTCAAACTCAAGTATTTTGGGTTCAAGAAAAAAAACAAAGGATCACAAAAGAAAATCAATTTCCAGCGAGCTTGGGCTAAAAGATCGATTGTTGGTTTGACCTTTATCTTATCTCCATAATTTTCTAATTAAAATGTTTTCCATCTCTCTTCCATCTATTTGCCAAAATACCCCTCTTCAACACCAGAAATAAAATAGGAAAGAAGACAAATGATTTCACCAGAAAATTTTTCGACCAGACAAATTAACCGGTGGCTTTAATTTGTGTATCACAATATGTTCTCTCTTCCAATGAAAAAGTAGGAGGAATAAAGTGATAAAAACTAACCCGTGCATACCCAGATCGAAGGGAGGAGGAGCACAAACCCTCATTGTCGAAAAAAATGGTGCCGACAATACCAAGCTTTCCGGCCAACTAAAAATTTTCCTCAATCTATAACCTATGTCATACTCTTTTTTCTCCCTAATTCTGTTTAATATCAAAGCCATCTATCTACTATGAAGAAAAGAAGAATAGAGAAAATGGTGTGGGAAAGTGAGATGGGGCATCGAGAAGAAAGAGAAAATGAAGAAAAGAAAGAAAGTAAAAGAAAGAAAAGGAAAAAGAATAAGAAAAGTTAAAATTAAGAAAAAGAAAAAGACAAGATAAAATAAATAGCAATAAAAAGGAAATTATATAGTTTTAAAAAGGTAATACACGTGTCAAATTATAGTTGGCGCATGTCATACACTATTTTAGTTGAGACAGTGCTAAGTAACGGAAGGTGTTATTTATTACACTTCTAACAAATATAAGGGGGTCATACGTAAAGTGTAAGGATGCATATGGTAAAAGGAGACAATTCTAGAGGTAATTATGTATTATCCCTTTATTGTACTTTGATTATTTGGCCACTAATAAGGGTCGATGTCGACCCCTCGTCACTGTTACTTCGAGGTTAAACTAGATACTTATTGGGTACGCGTTGATTTACGTACTCATACTACACTCTTACACTATTTGTGCATGTACTGAGATAGGTACGTTTGGTGGTAATACTGGCGCGTAGGCGCAGTTGTTGAGAAGACTTTGGGGTGAGCTGCTCTTTATGTTACGATCTGCAGCATACGGAGTCCCCTTCCTATTCATTTACTGTACTCTATCTATTTCCTATTCCAGACAGTTATTGTAGTATTATTGTATATTCTGGTAGATGCCATGTACTTGTGACATCGGGTTTTGGAGATTTAGATTTTGTTCTTGGTTGCATTTCTGTATGATATTTGAATTTATGTTTCGAGTACATTCGATCATTTAAGATAATATCAGTATTTTTCTATGAAAATAAAATAATTCCGCTTATTTATTCATTATTTGGTTCAAGATGCGAAATGAACTATCTATCGCGTGTTGATTTAATTGTTGGTTTGCCTAATGATAGTGTTGAGCGCCATTACGACCTATGGTGGAAAATGGATCGTGACACTAAAAGTAAAATTGCATGAACTTCAGTCATCTGTATTTGAAGTACTAATGTTCTGTTGATTTTTTTTTCGAAATTAAAAATTTTCTCTTTAAATTTTAACAATTCAACACATAATTCAATACCCAAATATACTCCAAATAATTTGAAACATAAGTTTAAAATACCATAAAAAATAAACCTCAATTATCAATTTGTCTAAATAACAATAAATCCAACAAATTTATTTTTGCAACATTCGTAAATTCATAATGTTTTCAAGCTTTTAAATAATATCCATTTGATTTAAAACTTACTTTGCATATTCAAAATGCAAGACCCACCTCTTCAAAGCATTATATTTTAATTGCAATAAACTACGAATATTGAGTACGAGTTAAACTTTTTTTAAAAAGTGAATACAAGTTAAATGGGGGGCGACCAAATAAGATGCCCTATATTTTTTCGGCCGCCTTAAAAAATAGTAGTCGGAAATATATATATTTTGTATATTAAATATATTAANGGCTAAAAATATATATTTCTCTAATTAATTTCGGCTGACGGGCTAAATATAAAAAAAGCGCAATTTTTTTGGGGAAAATGCCGTTGTAAATAGTTTTGACTACGAGCTAAAAGTGATCTTTGCCCAATTTTTTACGGGACTTTTGCATCTATACCCGATTTTGGGGTCACAATTGAAGCTATACCCACTTTATAAAAAATATTGCAAGCCTACCCACTTTACGATCAATTTCAGACTTAACAAATCTGAAGTTTAAAAAAATAGTCTAAAGTGCAATGCATTTAAGGCCAATTAAGTTTAAAGTATAAAATTATACTTAAGATGCACTTAAGGCCAAATAGGTCTGAAGTGCAATAAATATTTCCATGCACTTAAGTTTAGAAAGGTTTGAAGTGAAAAAATTGCACTTCAGATGCACTTAAGGCCAAATAGGTCTGAAGTGAAACAAATAGTTCTATGCACTTAAGGCCAAAAAGTTAAGTGAAAAATTGCACTTAAGGCCAATAGGTCTGAAGTGTAACCAATTGTTTCATGCACTTAAGACCAAACAGTCTGAAGTGAAAAAATTACACTTCATATGCACTTAAGGTCAAATAGGTGTGAAGTCCAACCAATTGAGGCCAACAAGTTTGAAGTCAAAAAATTGCATTTCAGATGTACTTAAGGCCAAATAGGTCTGAAGTGCAACCAACGTTTTCATGCACTTAAGGCCAAATAGGTCTTAAGTGCAAATTGCCCAGAAATAGAAATTTGTTTTTTGAATTTGAACAATCCAATATACGATTTAACACCTAAATCTACTCCAAATGAACTCAAATTTAAAACATAACCTCCAACTATCATAAAAAATAAACCCCAATTATCAATTTATCAAAACAACAATAAATCTAACGAACCCATTTTGCAATTAAGAAAAAGAAGAAGAAGAAATCCTAAGCAATAGTAAAAAATAAAGCGTCACATCAGCTCATCACTGTAAAATATCATAAATTACCTTAAAATATGTTCACAAATACCATATAAAATCACTGTCACCCGAAGAAGAAGGAGGTGGAGGAGGAAGAGGAAAAAAAGGCCTGAAATTGTTTAAACTCTGGGTACTAGTTAGAAATATTTTTAAAAGTGGGTAGTGCAATTTTTACAATTTTTACAATTTTTACCAAGCCTCGCTAGCCCAGACCTACTCTGTCCGTCCACAGGCCCAAAATTCAGTCCAAAGAACCCTGAAACCCAAGCCAACCCGCAGCCCCCCAGCTCCAAACCCTAAAAAGAATCTAGGGTTTTTCAATTCTTTCCCTCCCCTCTCAATATTCTTATAAAGTGTACATTGTTGACTTGAACTCTGATCATCCATGCACAAATCTTAAAGTGGTTCTTTTGATTTTCTTGGAAAGAATTGAATTTTTTTAAGGTACTCATTTGGCTATTATTGAAAGTGAAAACAAAGATCAGACTCAGGTTTGCTGATTTTGCATTGCTGTTATTGTGTTTGCTTAATCTTCTTAAGCAAAGAAACTATTATCTGGCTTCTTGAATGACCGTACATGTTTTTATAAATATACATATTTTTGGTTCCCATTGATACATTAGTAATTCTTGTCTTCAGCCTGACTTATTGATTTTCTGTGCACTGTTGTTTGACAATCTTTGTGTTAGTTATTTATGGTGTTCTGGTATTTTAATAAGTATCTCTGATAAAAATTGAATCTTTATTTTCTTTTAGAGAAGAGAAGTGTAGAATTGGATTCAGTTTAAAGAATTGATATCAGAAAAGGGGAAGATGAGTTATTCTGATCCACCACCTCCTCACCCGCCCTTTATGCCAATGCCATTCGCTGGCGGTGATATTGGAGAAGTGTGGCCACAATCTCCAATGAACCATGAATTTCCTGAGTCCTATTCTCAATTTGATCATGCACCTCCTTTCAAGAGACTGAGGAATTCCGATAACAACTCACCGAATTCTGCAAATTATACTCCTACGAATTCCAGAGTGAACCAGCTGAATCTTATAGGAAACAAAGGAACGAGCCATATATTTTTCAAAACACGCATGTGTGCCAAGTTCTTGGAAGGAACTTGCAGGAATGGGGAACATTGTACATTTGCTCATGGTGTTGAAGATTTGCGTGAGCCCCCTCCGAATTGGCAGGAACTAGTACGTGAAAAGGATAGAGGGGTAGTAGGGAACTGGAATGATGATCAGAAAATAATACATAGGATGAAAATTTGCAAGAAGTTTTATAACGGAGAGGAGTGTCCTTATGGAGATAAGTGTAATTTTCTTCATGAGCGTCCTCCGAAATTTAAGGCTGACATTCCAAGGCAAAGGGAAAGTTCTGCAATAAGCATCGGAACTACAGGTAACAGAAGTGATGCTGAGTTGAATGAGATTAGTAAGCATGGAATTGTAGATTCAGATGCTGTTCGAATTAAGCCTATATATTGGAAGACAAAGATGTGTAGTAAGTGGGAGACAACTGGTCAATGCCCCTTCCGAGATCGTTGCCACTTTGCTCATGGCCAATCAGGTAAAACTAATTTTACAGTCATCTTTTTGTTAGTTGTTAGTTTGACTTTTTGTTTAATCGTTTGTAAATCAATTATCTCTTTTACTTGATTTAAGTTTTGCAAAATTCCATCATCCCTTTATTGTAAAAAGTAAAGGCTGCATAATGTAATAGAAAATAGTTTTTAAGACAGAATAATTACGAGCAATGGAGCGCCTAGAAACAATGCTTGCTGATCCTAAGCAAGTTATTTAGTGTAGTAGAGCTGCAGTGGTTCAAGTTGAGAATCTAGTATAAAATTAGATACTTCTTATTTTTCTTTTTTCCATATTTTCTCAGGGAAAAGTTTCCAAGCTCTTCATTCCGGAAAAGGACAAATAAAGCAGTGTGTTTTCATATGATTAGCCTTCTGTATAACACCTGCATTGCAGAGAAGAACAGACTGTATCTAAAATCTTTTCGTAACCTAATAATTAATAGTTAATGCCACACGTGTCTTGTTTCCACTTAAATATGAAAAGCTTGACATTAACTCACATTCAGATTATATCCATGTATAAAACGAGGAATTTGTCGTGTTGCCGTGTCTTGACTGATGTTTTGCATATTCACAGCCATTGATTGTTCTCAGATTATGACTACTCTATTTCCTGTGACGATACATTAGATATGCAATTTCTCTACTAGGTCATGTCTCACATTTGAAACAAGCAACAATATATTTAGCTGTCAAGGTCTAGTCTGCCTCCTGGTTTTTATAGGTCTAACAATGAACTAACTTGGTCATAACCACTTTTTACTAAACATGGAGATACTGAATATGTGAATGGTGGGTTTTGTGTGCTACGCTTTTTAAAATCTTAAATTGACTTTCTATCGCTAAAATGGTGTGTGGACTTCTTTGTTCTCCATCAGCCTTTCCAGGAAAAATCTTCCATTTTCCTTTGTTATCGCTTATTTGGAGTTGTATTCTCGTGTTTCTGTTCAAACTTAGAAGTTGCTCGAAAGGGCTTTTCTCTGTCTATTGGTTTTCTGATGTTGGCTATTTCTTTGACAGAGTTACAGGTGCCTAGTGGTCCGGACTTGTTGATGAATTCTCTCCCCATTATGCCAAGGCCCTTCTCTGTTCCACTTGTTGAGTTATCCTCTGCAAATGCAGTGGTTAATGCTTCGATACAAGAAGAAAAAGAGGATAAGAAAATCTTAAAATGGAAACTGACCAAGAAGATCTATCGGATATATGCAGATTGGATTGATGATCTAGTCCCGCCCCACCTATTAGCCACTAAAGCCGATAGCTGATTTTCCAGGTTAAGGTTTATTATCTCCTTTCAGCGAGGATTAAAAAAATACAAGGGAGATGGAAATTTTGTTAGTGTGTTCTATAGTTTTCATATTTTGTGTCACCAATTGGCTTTTGAAATTTTGGAATTGCATATTTGTTTGTTATAGAAGAATCCAAATAAGGTAATATCTTGGGGAATTCCCTAGTCAGAGAGAGTGGAAGCATCATTTTTTTTTTAGCAGTTTGGTTTAAGTCTTTTGAGAAGTATATGAAAATGCTCATTTTTGTTTGCCTTCATTGTAGTTCCAAGCCCAATTTCTCTTTTTGATATCAGGCCCTTTAAATACAACCATATCATCTTTGAGAAAACAAAACTTTAGTTCCTTGATAATTTCTAGTTTGATCAGGAAAGTACAAAAAATGAATCTGCTAATGAAGGTTACAGACTCGGTCAAGAGGAAGAACTTAATAATATGGTAGCTGCTCATTGTTATTTTGGCCGGTTGAGTATGCTAGTTTCACCAACTCTCGTGAATTCATATTGCAACTTCTAGACGAAAGGAAAAAGATGTCATCTTTACATAGCATATTAACAGAGTGAATTTGCTAAAATTTAACACATTATTCACATCAGATAACAATATTCCGAAAGTTATGGTGTCAAAATTCAATCATAACCGGCCAAAAACTTCACAGACGTTTTAGCAAGTGATGTTGAAAGAGTTGTGTTATAAAGGAGACTTAGATGTCCAAACGAGAAAAAGAAAAGCCATTAAGTTTAAGAATTTTAGAATTGGAAAGTAGAAGGAACAAGAAAGAAAGAAGACGCTTGATAGAATCAACCGATGGAGTAGGAATTTCGAAACAAGGTGAAATTTTTTATTTTTATCAAAATCTTCTTCTACTAAGTGTTCCTTAACCAGACATATAAGCTATGTATGCACTTGCACTTTGCAAAAGAAAGCCGCTGTTTTTTTCTTCAAAGCATCTCGTATTGTTTTCTAGCCAAATATACACAATGTATGAGGGGATGTCCAGATATTTTTCAGCTTGCTGAGAGGTCTTTTGCGCCTGCCAACGGGACAATAAGCTCTCGACATCCTTTGGCATCACCTACTGCAAACTTTGAGCTGGTTAGACCATGATCCATTTATTGGTTTTACATATTTTGACCCGTCCAAGTTTGATCCACCCCGTCCATTTTACACCCCTAGGCTAGACACGTCTTAGGTGAACAACTCAATGATAAACAGCACATAAAACACAGTGTAGGCGGCAATTGAATACAGAAAATGGACTTTCTAGGGGTTTCCATAAGGTAATAAAACGTCGTTTTATATCACAAGTTCTCTAATCACAAAACTGAAATTCACCATGAAAGTTGAAACTAGTTCCACAAGAGGAGTGCAGTACTGCCTAATGCTTTCACTGAGTAGGAAATCAAAGCATAATAATAGCAAGACACTAATCAGAAAAGCGGCAGTGGAAATCTAACTCGTGCATGGTCTTGAATCATGGATCTTCCATTAGAGAAAGGACCACAAACAATTTAAACAAAGGAAAAAAAATCAAGTTAAGCAAACAGAACATCTGCATTACTGTTGAAACCAAGATTCAAGAGCACATATCTACCGCTTTTGGGAGAATGAAGGTTGTCATTTATGATCAATGAAAAGAGATTAAATCAGTGACTATTGTAAGTGGGCAGAACTCTTATTTGCTCTGTTTTTAGCTAGAGACCTTTGCCTATCTCATAGAGTAATCTCAAGTGTCATCTTCAACAACAACAACAACATACCCAGTGTAGTCCCACAAGTGGGGCCTGGGAGGGTGGAGTATAAGCAGACCTTACCCCCACCTTTAAGAAGTCAGAGAGGTTGTTTCCGAAAGACCCTCGGCTCAAGTATCATCTTCATATGTTAAAAACCTAAAACAGCTCTTATCGCTTTAACTTACAAGGCTTAGCAGCATAAAGGAATTATGTTTACAATGTATTTAACCTTAAAACATAAAATATTGAGCTGCCCCACATACAAGCCACTGATGTCAATAAGCAGAAATTGACGAAACACCAAGGTGACTCTAAAATACACAATCAAGCATTACAAACTAAAAGCAAAGAGTACTAAACTGTCTTGTGTTGTTTAGCATGTGATACTTAATTGAGTTCTAGTCAATTATGCTATTGGCTAATAGTATATACTGGGCGTATGCTAACCATATAGATCCATTTTAGCATCACCACATAGATCCAGCAAAGAGACAGTAAAGCCTGTCAAATAAAACAACATAATACAGACTCATTGAATCATAATACTCAAGCTCCAATTCCCAAACAGAGTCCTAGTTAGCATCTGAAAAAGTATCATGAACAAAGGAGCAAATAAACTAGTATGAGAATTATTTTTCTTGAGCCGAAGGTCTTTCGGAAACAACCTCTCTACCTCCACAAGGTAGAGGTAAGTTATGCGTACACTTTACCCTCACAGACCCCCACAATGTGGGTGTATGTTGTTGTATGATTCACCAAAAGCTGTATCTTAACCAACTTAACACCTGAAATCAACTAACTATTCAAGTTCTCCGAAAGTTGTAGAACAGAAACAGTTTCCCTACTAATCTTTTTACCAGCTCCATCAGGCCTTCCAAATGCCAACATACATGATTTACCAAAAATTGAATCTTTGTATAAACCGAATCTGATATTTATCAGAGACACAGTGACAATATAAGTATTCTTACCGTGTAATTTCCACTTTTGAATTCAAATCAATAGATTCATAACCAACTTCATTACATATTACAATCCAGCTAAAACTAGCATCTGTTAAAGAATATTAAAAAAATCACCTATAGCAACTCAAATATAAAAAGAGAAAATTAACTGATAAATAACAGACCATATCAAGGAAAAGAGATTTAGCTTGCACAAAATAAACACATAACACTAGAAATGTAATCGACATTAAGAGCATCCAGTAAGGAGGTAATTCATTAGTACCAAATTCCACTTCCATTAACCAACATCAGCAGCCAATTGACAAACAGATTAAAAGCATATTTCCATTACACATTTTTTTTGAAAAAAACAGCAAAATCCTAAAAGAAGTGCTAATAAGCGTCAAATCGACTAATATTTCTGTTGTAGTTCTTAGACAGGGCTGAGAAGCTGAGAGAGGGAGGGCTTAGGTTCAGAGTTCATGCCGAGGATGATGACAAGTGGAATGAAGCCGTAGTGGGTAATTACTTTGGCCTTCTTCGCCGTCCACGTGCCCCACTCCTTTACGAACTTGGACACTGCCGCCACAGCTCCGTCGTCTTCATCGGCGGCTGCAGCCTTCTTTGTGTTCTTTCCTTTGGACTTCAGCATTACCTTGGATGTCATTTTTTGCACAGAACTGAGTCTGACGTCTGAACCAGCTCTTTGGTGGCCTCCTAGTGGAGTATTTTGTTTGCGTTCTGCTAAACGTGAAAGCCCTAAAAGCAGTGATGACTGATTTTGTTATTTAGGGTCACGGCCACTTATAGCCTATTTGGCCAAATTTTTCCAATCCTAAGCATTTTTTTTCAAAAAGTGATTTTTTTTCAAAGTTAAATTAATTGGCCAAACTATTAAATAAAATAAAAAGCGAAGCACCAAAAAATAACTTCTATCCAAAAATATTTTTGAGAAAAATACACTTAGAAGTAATTTTTAAAAGCTTGGTCAAATACTGATTGATGCCCATAAGTGTTTTTCAAATTAACTGGCCAAACACAAAAAAAAACTTTTGAAAAAAAATATTTCTCAAAATAAACTGATTTTTACAGCTTGGCCAAACAGGCTATTAGTTTCGAAAATGTAAATTTAGCCCAACTTCTTCAAATGAAAGCAAAGATGTAATGTTTAATCTATCTACAATATTTAAAGCATTCCATTGACGAAATGTAGTTCGCATTTTTTAACTTATAAATTTAACTTATTAAAATTTAGGACTTTGAAATCAATTAAAATTTTAGTAATTAATTTTTTTATTTGAAATTTTTTCATAGAAACCTGCTATTTAGGAATTTAAAATCACTTAAGATTTACCTTACATAAATTATATTCTTTCCTAATTGAAGTAGGTAATATAGGTATAAACCGTTAGTATTACAATTAGAAAAAAATTAAGGCTAAACATTCGCTTACTTGTCAAGAAGACACGTAAAAAGGAGTCTTTGAACATAAAGTTTTCATCTCAAAATAACTATAATTCTTTAATATTTTTTTTCTTAATATTTACTCCATTATATCTTGAGATTAACTGAAATTTTACTTATTAAAATTTTCATATTTGAACTAAGTCCTTATATTTTGAATTTTGAATTTAATTAAAATTTAACCAAAATTAATTAAAATTTAACCTTCTGTAAATTATGTTTAAATTTGAATAATATATAATACTCATATAAATTCCTTGCTACTTTTGAACATTACATATGCACTGGAATATATTTTTATATTATACTTGAACTCCCTTCCTTCACTAGCTTGCTTGAGTATCCTTTTTGAGTGTTCTTTTTTAGCATGATTTTTATTGCACTTTGATTTTGTATTCATTTGATATTCATAAATAATCAGTTGCGTGCTGATATATTTTAAATAGTATCCTTCAATATTATATAAGTTTTCAAGGGTTATGTGTTCTTGCTAAAACTGAAAAGGAAGCCAAATAACTTATGAAACTAAAAGAATGACATTATAAAACTGAAATAAATTATAAGTTGAATTATTGACTAATGATTAAGGACTTTTTATAAGATGGTTTCTTTTTTTATTGAGTTAGTTATACACTATCAACATTCATGGTCGTCCTTGGGAACTTACATTTTTATTTTATAACTCATGCATAATTTTAAATAAATTTATACTCATTGATACGCGCATTGCATATTTTTAAAATTTAGAAAAAATACAATTAAGATCTTTCTAGGTTCTGCTAGATGATGTATTCGTGCCATGCACGAGCCCAATTGTTGTTATTTTTTTCTTGTTTTCATTTTTTAATATTTCTTGGTCTTTTGCTAATTAAACACTTTGTTCGCCTTTAGGAAAGAAGAAAGAAAATAGATTTTTGTGCAATAACGTTAAGAACCACGATTACATGTATTGTTATTTATCTTTTGCATTATGTGTATTTTACTTTTGCTGAAATGGTATTACTATACCAATCACTTTGTAATACTCTGACACTTTATTATACAAAGATTATACCATACTTCAAGTACAATTTAGAGTATTTCTAAATAGGTTCTATACTTTTTTATTTAAAAAACAAAA